ATCTAGATTTACGAATGATTGCCGAAAATTCATTACTAGAATGGAAAGATTTGGGGGAAAAAAAGCGCACAGGGAATGAATGGGAAGATCAAAAAGCTACAAGACGAAAGGCTTTTTTGGTTAGACGGATGGACTTAGCTAAACATTTTATTCGAACAAATATAGAACCAGAATGGATGGTTTTATGTCTATTACCAGTAATTCCTCCTGAGTTGAGACCTATTATTCAGATAGATGGGGGAAAACTTATGAGTTCAGACATTAATGAACTCTATCGAAGAGTTATCTATAGGAATAATACGCTTACCAATCTATTAAAAACAAGTAAATCTACGCCAGGCGAATTAATAATATGCCAGGAGAATTTAGTACAAGAGGACTGTGGATACACTTCTTGATAATGGAATCCGCGGGCAAACCAATGAGGGATGGGCATAATAAAGTTTACAAGTCATTTTCAGATATAATTGAAGGCAAAGAGGGAAGATTCCGTGAAACTCTGCTTGGTAAACGAGTTGATTATTCAGGACGTTCTGTGATTGTCGTTGGCCCCTCGCTTTCATTACATCAATGTGGCTTGCCGCGTGAAATAGCAATCGAACTTTTCCAGCCTTTTGTCATTCGGGATCTAATAAGAAAACATCTTGCCTCGAATATAGGGGTTGCAAAAAGGCAAATTCGACAAAAAGAATCACTTGTATGGGAAATACTTCAAGAAGTTGTGCAGGGGCATCCTGTATTGCTGAATAGAGCGCCCACTCTCCATAGATTAGGCATACAGGCATTTCAACCCATTTTAGTGGAGGGGCGTGCTATTTTTTTACACCCCTTAGTTTGTAAGGGGTTCAATGCAGATTTTGATGGAGATCAAATGGCTGTTCATGTACCTTTATCGTTGGAGGCTCAAGCCGAAGCCCGTTTACTTATGTTTTCTCATATGAATCTTTTATCTCCGGCTATTGGGGATCCCATTTCCGTACCAACCCAAGATATGGTTATTGGACTTTATGTATTAACGAATGAGAATCGTCGAGGTATTTGTCTTAATAGGGCAACTGAATGTAATACACGAAACTTTCCAAGTAGAAGCAGTGACAATCATAATTATTATTATAAGTATAAAAATGAACCCTTTTTTTGTAATTCCTATGATGCAATTGGAGCTTATCGGAAAAAACAAATAAATTTAGATAGTCCTTTGTGGCTCCGATGGAGACTCGATCAACGCGCCATTACTTCAAGAGAAACTCTAATAGAAATTCATTACGAATCTCAAGGGACTTATTATGAGATTTATGGACACTATCTAATAGTCCGAAGTATAAGAAAAGAAACTCATTTTTTTATATATTCGAACTACTGTTGGACATATTTCTCTTTATCGCGAAATTGAAGAAGCTATCCAAGGATTTTCTAGGGTCTGGTCGAGACCTAAAAGAATTTGATGATATAAATACCAACGGTAATTCGGGACTCCCCCGGTTTAACTAGGACCTGAGCTACGGAATTTCTACGTAAATAAAGATCCAGAAAAGTAAGTTTTCAAATCACTGACTAAAATTCATTGTCTTGTCGAATCCTACTTAGCCAAACAAGGAGGTACTTATGGCAGAACGGACAAATCTAGTCTTTCATAATAAAGTGATAGACGGAACTGCCATGAAACGACTTATTAGTAGATTAATAAATCACTTCGGAATGGCATATACATCACATATCCTGGATCAAGTAAAAACTCTGGGTTTTCAACAAGCGACTACTATATCCATTTCATTAGGAATTGATGATCTTTTAACAATACCTTCCAAGGGGTGGCTTGTTCAAGATGCTGAACATCAAAGTTTGGTTTTTGAAAAAAACAATCAATATGGAAATGTACACGCGGTAGAAAAATTACGTAAATCCATTGAAATATGGTATGTTACAAGTGAGTATTTGCGACAAGAAATGAATCCTAATTTTAGGATCACTGACCCTTTGAATCCAGTTCATATAATGTCTTTCTCCGGAGCTAGAGGAAATGCATCTCAGGTACATCAATTGGTAGGTATGAGAGGCTTAATGTCAGATCCACAAGGACAAATGATTGATTTACCGATTCAAAGTAATTTACGTGAAGGACTTTCTTTAACGGAATACATAATTTCTTGCTATGGAGCCCGTAAAGGGGTTGTGGATACTGCTGTCCGAACCTCGGATGCTGGATATCTGACGCGCAGACTTGTTGAAGTCGTTCAACACATTGTGGTACGTCGAACCGATTGTGGCACTGTTCGCGGGGTTTATGTGAGTCCTAAGAATGGAATGATGCCCAAAAGTATTTTTTATCCAAACAGTAATTGGTCGCGTATTAGCAGATGATATATTTATAGGCTCGCGCTGTATTGCCACTAGGAATCAAAACATTGGAGTAGGACTTTTAAATAGATTTCTAAAATTTCGAGCCCAATCAATATTTATTAGAACTCCCTTTACTTGTAGGGGTACATCTTGGATTTGTCAATTATGTTATGGTAGAAGTCCTACTCATGGTGACTTGGTAGAATTGGGAGAAGCCGTAGGTATTATTGCAGGTCAATCTATTGGAGAACCTGGGACTCAATTAACATTAAGAACTTTTCATACAGGCGGAGTATTCACAGGGGGTACTGCAGAAAATGTCCGGGCCCCTTTTAATGGAAAAATAAAATTTAATGAGGATTTGGTTCATCCGACACGTACACGTCATGGACATCCCGCTTTTCTATGTTCTATAGATTTGTATCTAACTATAGAGAGTGAACAGACTCTACATAATATCAAAATTCCTCTCAAAAGTGTTCTTTTAGTTCAAAACGAGCAATATGTAGAATCCGAACAAATTATTGCTGAGATTTGCCCGAGAGCATCGAGTTTTCATTTTAAAGAGAAGGTGCATAAAAATATTTATTCTGATTCAGATGGAGAAATCCACTGGAGTACGGATGTTTATCATGGATCGGAATTTGCATATGGGAATGTTCATTTATTATCCAAAAACGAGCCATTTATGGATATTCTTAGGAGAGCCTTGTCTTTCTAGGCCAGTTTACTTTTCCAGTCACGGGGACCAGGATCAAATGAGTACTCCTTCCCGTTCTTCGCTTAAGCGAAGATCTATTTCCAACCTATCAAAACCAAATAATCAGACTAGACAAAAAATAAGCCGTGCGGGTTTTTCTGGTAAAAACAAAGATGATCTTGCTTATTATTCAGACGTAAATTTTTATTTTTTATCAAATTTATTATCAAAGAGGCGAAGAAATCAATTAAGCATTCCCCTCCAATCGATTAAAGAAGGCAAAAATAAACTACTACCCAAGTCAAATATCTCAATGAAAATACCTGCAAATGGTGTTTTTTTTCAAAACACTATTATTGCTTATTTTGACGAGCCCCGGTCCAGAATAAATCATTTAGACAGTACGAAATCCCAATATGGTACTCTAGAAATGCATTCAATCATTAAAAAAGAAAGTTTTATTAAGTATCCGCGAGTAAAAGAATTTCAACCAAAAAAGAAAGGAGAGCACTTTTTTTTTATTCCCGACGAAGTGCATATCCTACCCTGGATCTTCTTCCATAATGGTACGGAACCTTAGTATCATTGGAATAGATACAAAAATAACCTTAAATAGAAGAACCCAAGTAAGTGGGTTGGTCAGGGTGGATAGAAAAGAAAAAACAATTGAACTTAAAATATTTTCTGGCGAGATATATTTTATTGGGGGCACAGATAAAATATCCCAATATAAACATGTTTTGATAGCACCTGTAACGGGAAAGCCAAATTACAATAAAACAAAAAAGATTAAAAATTTGATTTATGCCCAACGGATTACACCAAGTAATAAAAAGTATTTTGTCTTGATTCGACCTTGCATCAAATATGAAATAATAGACGATATCAGTTTGACAACACTCTTTAATCCCGATTTATTGCGGGAAAAGGATAATGTGCAACTTCGGGTTATAAAGTATATCCTTTATCTAACTGACAAAACTAATTCAAGGAAATTATGACACAAGTATTCCATTAGTTCGGGCGTGTTTAGTTTATCATTGGAACCAAGATACAAAAAGTGATTCTAGTGAAGCAGTCCGCACTTCCGTTTATGAAATAAGAATAAAAAATTTGATTCGTCATTTCCTAAGAATTGACTTTGCGAACCCACCACTTTCGTATATCGCAAAAAGGAAGGATCCTTTGGGTTTAGGATTCTTTTCTAATAATGAATTAATTTGGACCACAAAAAAATTATTTTTCCAAGACAAGGATTGACGAAACCCTTAACGAAAAAAAAGGAACTATTCATACATTTTGGAATCAAAAAAAGGAATGTAATTCCTTTATCATTTTGTCATCATCAAATTGTTTTCGAATGGACTTTTTTAACGGTGTAAAATCTCACAACGTCATAAAAAGCCTCAATACAAAAGGATCCCCCAAGCCTTTATATTAATAATTATTTTGGGTCCTTTAGGAACATACCTTCCAATTGTGAATTGTGATTCGTTAAATCGGTTATTAACTAATAATCTGAGTTTAGTCACTAATTATTTACAACTCGACAATATAAAACTGCTCTGTCAAGTATTCAATTTTAAATATTATTTCCTTGGGGAAAACAGGAAATTTTACAATTCTAATCCATGCAGTAACATTATTTTGAATGCATTTAGTTTGAATGTGTCTTTTCTTTACCAAAATCATTGGACAGCGACATCTAAAAGACTAAGTCTCGGACAGATTATTTGTAAAAATGTATATATAGAAAAAGAAATACCCGTTCTAAACTCGGGTCAAGTTATTCTTGTCAAACTTGACTCTGTAGTAATACGATCTGCTAAGCCTTATTTAGCTCCCCCAGGAGCAATTGTTCATGGCCTTTATGGAAAACCCCTTTTTGCCGGCGATACAGTAGTTGCTTTTAACTATGAAAAATCGAGATCCGGTGATATAACACAAGGCCTTCCAAAAGTAGAACAGGTATTAGAAGTGCGTTCGGTTGATTCCATATCAATGAATCTACAAAGAAGGTTTGTGGGTTGGGACAAATTTATAACCGGAATTCTTGGAATTCATTGGGGGTTTTTTATTAGTGCTGAGTTAACTATAGTGCAAAGTCGTATCTCTTTGATTCATAAGATCCAAAAAGTTTATCGATCCCAGGGGGTCCAGATTCATAATCGGCATATTGAAATTATTGTACGTCAAATAACATCAAAAGTTTTAGTTTCAGAAGATGGAATGTCTAATGTTTTTTTCGCCTGGAGAACTTATTGAATTGTTGCGGGCAGAACGGATGGGGCGTGCTTTAGAAGAACCTATTTATTATCGAGCCATATTATTGGGAATAACAAAAGTATCTCTCCATACTCAAAGTTTCATATCGGAAGCGAGTTTTCAAGAAACTGCTCGGGTTTTAGCAAAAGCAGCTCTCGGGGGGCGGATCGATTGGTTGAAAGGCTTGAAAGAGAATGTTGTTTTGGGTGGGGTTATACCGGCCGGGGACTGGATTCAGAGCATTAGTCCACCCCTCAAAACAATATAATAACAGTTATTTCCAAAAACAAAAAAACAATCTATTTAAGGCGGGGGTTCGAGATATTTTGTCTCCCCACAAAAAACTTTTTAAATAGTTCCTTTCAAAAAAACTCCGCAAGATATCACATAATTGATAGGATTTAGAAAGATTCCTAATAGCAAATTAATATCTTGTACGCTTTTTCAATCTCGCCGGTTTATTTAGCAATAGAAAAATAGAAAATAAGAATTATTGGGGCGTATATATTCTATATATATCGGCAATTTTAGTATTTTAGTATAATTTTAGTATAGATGACTATAGAGGATAAGGTTCCGTTGGAACAAGTTTTTAATTCAATTCAAAATTCCTCGTTAATTTTTTTCTTCAACAGAATCTAAAATGGGGGGATCTATTTAAATGACAAAAAGATATTGGAACATCAATTTTAGAAGAAATGATGCAGGCTGGAGTTCATTTGGGTCATGGTACTAGGAAATGGAATCCTAAAATGGCACCTTTTTATTTTTACAAAGCGTAAAGATATTCATATTATAAATCTGATCGTAACTGCTCGTTTTTTATCGGAAGCTTGTGATTTGGTTTTTGATGCAGCAAATAGAGGAAAAAATTTTTTAATTGTGGGTACTAACAATAAAGCAGCTAATTTAGTAGCCCGAGCTTCCATAAAGGCCCGATGTCATTATGTTAATAAAAAATGGCTTGCCGGTATGTTAACGAATTGGTCCACCACAGAAACAAGACTTCAGAAGTTTAGGGACTTGAGAATGGAACAAAAAAAAGGGGGGTTCCATCATCTTCCAAAAAGAGATGCAACTGTGCTCAAAAGACAATTAGCTCGTTTCCAAAAATATCTGGGTGGAATTCAATATATGACAGGCTTACCCCGATATTGTAATCATTATTGATCAGCACAAAGAATATATAGCCTTGCGAGAATGTATAACTTTAGGAATTCCAACAATTTGTTTAATCGATACTAATTGCGACCCCAATCTATCAGACATTTCAATTCCAGCAAATGATGACGCTATCTCTTCAATTCGATTGATTCTTAACAAATTAATATTTGCAATTTGTGAGGGCCGTTTTAGCTATATAAAAAA